CTGTTATTGCGAAGTTATTCAAAAAATGTTACATTTATTTATTTATCTTTAATGTTTGTTTAATGTTTAAAGATATTGAGTAATTATAATAAACACGCGTGTTTACCATGTATATAACACCTGTTTCTGATCTTCCCTTTGTCAGTGGGTCTGGCAATGTACAGCGTCTAGTCGTCTGGATGGGACGAAAAACCAAGGTCCCGTGTACACTTTGGCGTACATGTAAAATAACCATTCACTGTTGTAATTCGAAATAAGAGTAGGTTATTGTGCCGCTGTCGGTCAACATTTTAATTAACGCACACTGCATGACGTATACCCCTATTCATTATCCCGGTTGAAGTACAAAAGTTTGACCTTAAACCCCCATTCCATGCCGTCATTATTCATTTATTCCTATCTTCCATTTGTATAATTTGTAATCGAGTTATAATTACCTTAATTTGTCTATATGTGATCAGTCAAAGCTGAGAGAGAGAGAGAGAGAGAGAGAGAGAGAGATGGGGTTTAACGTCCACTCGACACAAACTAGGTCATTTCGAGACTAACATATGGTTTAATTTTATTTCAATAATTCGCATGCGCGTAGGGGTCTTTAGCAGTGGGAGGAAACCGGAGGACCCAGAGAAACCCACAAGGTTGGACAGGCGACCCTACTCCTTGTCACGTACAACCGGGGATTCGAAACCACGCCAGTTGACTCAATGACAGACTTAATGATACAGCGCGCGCACGCTAACCATTCAGCCACCCCCCCCCCCCCCCAGTCAAAGCTGCACAAAGAGTAGGGTCAACGTTTTAGTCGCCTGCCCAACCTCGTTCTTTTTCTTCAGATCCATGCCTCACCCCCACCCTACCACCGATACACACGCACACCTTGCTAACGATTTATTGAAAAAATTCTCTCTCTCAATAAAATATATGTTTAAGTCAATTGATGGCTAGTCTTTTCCTAGTGTAAAACGTAATGTGTTACGGCCATTTACAACATACTGTATTTGACCCCCCCGCCCCCAACATTCTATCAAAAAACATTTGAAATAATTAAAGTCTGCTTTATATATTACGAATGACATAATCGTGTTAGTGTTAGCATTATCTACAACTCCCCACCTCGAAAAGCAGCACTACGACATACCATCTTTAAAAATTTTGAACTCCATATAAAACAATAATGTCAGTATTTTGGAGTCGCTTTTATTTTTTCACAGGGCATGTTTGAAGGAAATAAATCTCGATTTAAAATACCTACTGAAAGTTCGTTTTGTTTTAGGGAAGGATTTAGAAATTGGGGGAAATTCCGATTTCGTGACGATCAAACACGCTCCAAGCGATAACGGAAATGAATTTCCAGGCAATGACTATACAGTACCTATATTATGATGTTCTTGTTGCCGCGGTTTCCCCTTTCAGTGGTTCAGGACGGAGACCCTAGCAAGGACAGTGTCTAGTCGTTCGGGTGGGGTGAAAAACCGAGGTCGCACGTACACATTGGCGTGCACATAAAAGAACCCTTGATAGTTGGATGTAAGAGTAGGCCAATATGAATATCGTATGGCCAGGGATTTTACTAAGAGGTGTGATTGAATAAAAAACTACTGATAACCAGCCTGTAAGCCAGACTTTAAACAGAACAGAAAAGAAGCAAATATTAAAAATAGCAGATATTGTACTACAGAAGATTAAGCAGAGATTAGACTGACGAGACTTTGACATTTCACTTAATTAAATACAGGAATATTTGTAATACACACACACACACACATATATATATATATCATCCATAATCCGTACCAAAAAGAAATTGGCTTTTTGTCAACACGATGAATGGTGCTATATATATATAAGCTATCTACTTTATGTATACTTAGTTATTAAACCTGGACGAATATAAGATCGCTATAGTTTGTCTATCTCGCTAGGGAAATGATAAGGCTGAAAGTCTTGTCAACACAATACTTCCTTAATAAAATTATCATTTAGGTTATATGTATGTTAGGAAGGATAATTTAGTGTAGATGGGTGGACATCGGTTTGTCGCCCGGAACGACCAGGCAGCACGTTTCTTGTCGGCTCAGACTGGGATTTGACCCGGGACAGTCTAACTCAGAGTTCATCGCCGTGGTCCCATAGGTGTTCGTAAGGATTTCTTTTCTGAAACACAATTTGTTGCGACTACCACCGGCGTTGAGTTATGCCCACTAGTCCGTGAGTTCACTGGTCCGCGACTTAGATCTTCAGTTGGTCCTGCTGTATATTGCACTAAACCCCTTTCAATTTACCATTAAATTTTAGTCTTATTAATAGCTGTAATAGACCAAAAATGCTTGATATAGTAATGGCCAATGGTCAATCATATTTGGACAATTGGAGGGCGAAAGTTATTTCTAGTCTTTCTCCCCCCCCCCCCAACCCGCACCTTTTTGCATAGCGATTTTTGTTGCCTTTTTGGTGTAGAATCGAAGAAAAGGGTTTGGAAATCCATTTTCTGGCAGGTTTTGGTGAATACTCATGATTTTGAGGCGGAAGGGTACGAGAGTTGAGCGGTTGGTTACGTTAAAATGTAGGGCGGATAATTGCATGGTGTTTGATCTTTACTTCCAGTTTGTGTGTCTCAAGTTTTTCATGGTGAACCTCATACGCGCTTTTTGACAAGAGGTTGCCACATGTTGCTCAATCTGTGGTAGAAAGCGTTCTACCCAACGACAATTGGAAAAAGTTAGAGCCGGTCTAAGACAAGAGAATTAACATTTAAGTCAATGGGGAAATCATTGGTGATCTGTGGCCATTTAACTCGGTTGTACTCTAGAACCATGGAGTATGTCAAGTTTACATTAAGGATTTCTATCAGACGGGACAAAGAAAAATGGCAGATTATTCTTTAGACCGCTCAGACCATGGTTTTGAACCCGTGCTGCTGAATGATAATGAAAAGGAGATTCTTTGAGAGAAAAAAAAATTCTATAAAACTTGTTTAGTGCATCCTCAAAACGTTGCGCCTCGCTTCGTTTAACCATATATTGCATAGCCTATTCCACTTCCTTCAAACCCCTTGGCATTCGTCATTTGCAAATTAACTGCCCATGCTAAAGGCGTCTTACACAACGGGCAAAATCAAATTGGCAACCAAAATCTGTTGTAATCGTTTTGTTCTCCGAAGGATGTTACGCCCCCAAGGGAAAAAAGAATGAGGACTGACAAATTAGTGTTGATCTTCCTATTACATAACTCTCAAATTCCAATACAGTTTAATTTAAAACAACACGCCAAGTAAACTGTACAGAAGATCCCAACAAAGATACAAGAATAAAAGTCACTTATCGTAAATTCTACGACTAATTGGTATGCAAATATATTTAACAGATTTAAATGGCAGTATATGTAATTATAATGAATTGCAGGAATAGCATAGTAAATTCCAGACACTTCGATGCCCAATGTTTTATTTACGTAAATTTACATGTCTTCATTTAGAAATAGGATTGGTTTGGTTACTCATTAATGGTATTGAGATCAAAATGTGTAAGTGTTGATTGTGAAATACTTCCTGTAAGTTATATCATGGAAAAGATTATTTATTGTTTATTCTAATGTTAAAATAAATGTCTTAACGTGGAAATAGGTAAGATTAGATATAGAGATAACAGTTCTTGCTATAATAGTTAAATAATAGATAATGAAAACAGAATATGTTGAAAATTTCAAATTGCTTCACTCTGAACCGATATATTAGCGATTCAGTTTTAGGCTAGCTTCGATCGTCATTACTACCGTTGATACGATAATAAACAAAGTCTCGATTATCCATTTTTACGTTAAATCAGCCATCACAAAATGTATTCAAATCCATTAATTATCGCAGGCTAACGTAGCACCGAGAGTTGATTATGGTCTTGATAAGTTCATTAATGTCTAATAGATAAATAAATAACATTTAAGGCCTAAAGAAATACCTGCAATAGGCAGATTTAGCTCTTACATAGTGTATGTTTAAATGTGTGATAGATATAGCCAGGCCCGTAACTAGGGGGGGGGTGCCCCCTTGCAAAAACAATAGATATACATTGTCCGTCAGTTTTACAGCACCCCTGAGAACACATCCTGCCCCCCGCCCCTTGTTGCTCTGAGCTAGTTACAGCCCTGGATATAGCTAACAAACATAGGGTTTCTAGAATATTGTCCTTATACAAGAACGTCAGGCTATTTCTATCGAATCGTGCCAGACATTTGATTGGCTTCGGACCGGAATAACCGTATGAGATATTGTAATGAATCATTCACAGTATCTCGATCACACAGTAAGATGCATGAACATACTAACGACCGACATGTTTACGACATGCTTTGCTTCATTTGTTGTTCTCGGAGTGTATTCGTATGGTGTCCATGTGTTTGTCTTATGGTTTTCCAATGTTGTGTTTGTTTATTGTCGAATGTGAAATTGTCCTCCGGCATTTTGTAGTTTTGTGTATCTCAATGAGATTTTAAATAATTTCGCGATTGATTGGCTCTTGAATGTAAATCAAGCTTGCGGTACATCGGACAAAAATGATATCAACATAATAATGTTCATATAAAATAAATATTGAACGTGAAGATAGCCATTTGGAGGCTGTGGGACATTTTAGATCTTCGTTTAAATACCCTCGGTGGATTGATTTTCTCATAAATATCTAAGAGACAATCCTAAAATTATAATAAACATAAAGATCGCCATCCGAAGTTAATGCGACATTTTTTACCTTCGATGGGTTGTCTCTTGAATAAAGTGCTAACCCCAACCCGATACATATATCTAAGGGACAACCCACCAAAGAATACTGAACGTAAAGATCGTCATCCGAAATTCATACAATTTATATCTTTCGACGGATTATCTCTTGAATAAAGTGTTAAACCAAACCCGATTACATATAGGTGTTGTATAAATAAAGAAGGTGCTACAAGTTAACAGACAGTTCGTGATGTGAAAGTGTGGTGTTGATAAAATTCTGACTTACCAAAGGCTATTCGCTTGCCAAACAAATTTTCCGACTTGTCTTTCATTGTCAGCAAACAGTCTAACCCAGTTTGTGAGTTTACGACTTCGCGAATACAACTGGCACATTGCATTTTGAGCACCATATCTCCTAAATGATGACTCTCACATTTGGCTAGATTATTGAGGCATTGAAATAATAGGCCCAAACCATCGAAAGATAAAAAGTCTTCCATCCACTCACGTTCATTATATTTGATACATTTTCTAAGCTTGGCCAGATTATGGATTGTCGGGTTTCGGATCCATAGCAAAAAGTGAACCGCTTCTGTTGATTTTTCCTGTGCTAAAATATCCGGCTCCAATGTAAAACCGTCCGATTTGCATCTTTTGGCTCGATTTTGTTTTTTCTTCCCAAATCGAGTAGTTTTAGGCAAGATGTCAGCCGATGGAGTCTCGGGGCTCGTATTTTTACTCATTTTGAAAACACTTTCCTTGCTGAAAACGAGAACTTTACTTCGGTGCTTCGTTATCTTAGTCTCTCATATTGAAATGCATAAATCCAACTAGATCACATATTAAACCGAACACGTAATTTCTACACCGAACAAGAACACATATACACACTATTTATACACAGACAACCACTAGTCGATTTTCAATGAACTTTCTCAAAGACATTATCAAACACGATGTGTGTGTCAGTATACTGTTATTTAGTTACATACACGAAGTTGCAGCTGAGAAACACATGCGCAGTATACTCCCTCTCACGAAATCTACACACTATGAAGCGTTGAGCTGTGATGGGTTAAACGGTACCCTGCCTATAAATAGCCATAACATAGACACTAAATAAAACACGAATACGCCTCTACATATACTAGAGTGTAGGCCCATACAATACATACCACATGACGTACTATTGTTATTGCTTTGAACATTTGAATCAGAATCGGTTAAATAGTGTTGTTGTAAGCGTAAATGGAGTGAGCCTATACTAAGTTAGTAAGACGTTGACTCGCTAACCTGGAGGTCCCGTACGTGTTCGATCACGGTGTTGACCGAGAAAGTTCAAATTAATTTTCCGACGTGGTTCCCCACTTGTCAGTGGTGCAGGACTGTGGGCCTGGGAAGGGACAACGTATGGGACATAAACCAGAGGTCATGTATACACATCGCGTGTACATAAAAGATCCCTTGGCAGTTGGAATTCCATGCAAGAGTAGGCCGTTGCGCCGCAGTCAGGGCAAAATTTCCCTCAAAGAACACTGTATGGCGTATACCCGTCTTCATTCGTCCAATCGGAGCAGAAAGGACGTTAAAACCCCATTTCATTTTGTAAGCCTAAAGGAGGGGTGTATATAGTTCAATGTAAATGGTTAATAATATGTTAATTTCCCAAATACACGAGAAGCAATTATATCGGCAGTTCTAGTTTTTGAAATATAAGCATACTTTACCCCGTGTACGACATTCACTATTATCGATTTCGTTCCTGAATATTTCTGAACGTTTTGCATACTGATGAATAAATAACATCGACATAATTAGGCCGGCTGGAGTAAAAAAAAGAAAGACATTCAATAACATTTTATTTCATCAAATATCGATACCTTTAAATAATTTATCATAAGTTGGAGTAAGATAGGTTGCCAGGTAACGTAACATATTCTCACAACAGCAAAGTCATCCTAGTAGCCCATAGACGTTGACGGGTGTTAAGTCTTTGTAGGTAGTGGGACCATTTAGAAGACTGTGTTTTATTATTGTAAGAGGTTTTTTTTTTCGTTTTGTTTTTTTTTGCCAAACTAGGGCCATAACTTTACAAAGTGAAACCGTGGCCATAATCCTAGTATTTCTTAGCGGTTTTAACCACATGGGTTCTTCGTGTCACTAATTTTACCGTGGCCATAATCCTAGTATTTCTTAGCGGTTTTAACCACATGGGTTCTTCGTGTCACTAATTTTACTAATGTATATAAATTTCAAATAGCCCGGGTCACATTTTTTGTCGTTACAGCGTTCACAAGATTCTGCATATCTCTAGAAGTAATTAACGGAAATCGTTGAAATTTAGGCCTAAATATCTCACTAATATAAATTTTACAGATCGACATACCGATGAGGATGACGGCAGTAGGCCTATATGCAACTACATTTCTATGTCAGCGTATACAAATACTAATGTATCGATCATACGGATTACAAAGCATCAGTTTGCTGGTGCGTTTAACAAAGAAGAAGAAGGCATTTTATCCAATCTGGTTAAAACACAGATCCTATTTCGTTTCGTTTTTATAGTTCAAAATTTCGTTTTACTTGTCTTTACTACACTTGGATCTGGAAGACTTGTTATTTAACTCGTGTTCTGCTTGAAATGAGGGGTCAGCCAAGCAAATGGTCTGTCGAATCGAGTGTTTGACCTTTTTTGCCCGGAACTGTGGGTAAACCACTAGTAATATCAATGTTGATTGGTTAATCAAAATGTCTGACGTCATAGGTCAAAAGTCGGTCTTTTGCCCCCTGACGTGACCTATCGCTATAACTTGTCAGATCTTCATGTAGTGTAGGCCATCGAAAATATAAAAAAAACGAAACGAAATATAGATCTATATTTTAATCAGATTGCATTTTATCCAAACATGTAGTTGTATTCTGAGCGTGTATTCTGTAGGATCGCCTATAAAACATATCATATCGTATGACTTGTATTTATGAGCAGGAATAAAACTGCCTATTTTAATCCATGGGGAGATGACGGTTGTTCATTTAGATAGTGCATTAAGGTTTAAACACGGTTAAATTGAAACGCAGAAGTTTTTTTTTATTCTATAATAATTCAAGCGTGGAAACCTATCTTGCTTCACATAAACTGTATAATAACTACACAGCTTGTGGTTATAAATATAAAACCATGCATGACTAGACGTACAATGAAAATGACTCATTCAACATTTGAATAATACATATAGCAGACGAATTTCCTTTACTTCCCATATAGACATTTTAATTTTGCGTCTTTGTAACTATATAGAAAATTGACGATTTCATTGTTAATTTGATAAAAATATATTTGAAGACTATTGAAGACAAATGGATTCATGATTAGAACAATGAAAGGAGACGACTCACTAACCAGGAGATACGGGACAAGGTCGAGAAGGTTCCCCGGGATTCTGTCTCGGTGAAGGTCAAGCAAGTTCCCCGGGATTCTGTCTCGGTGAAGGTCAAGCAAGTTCCCCGGGATTCTGTCTCGGTGAAGGTCAAGCAAGTTCCCCGGGATTCTGTCTCGGTGAAGGTCAAGCAAGTTCCCCGGGATTCTGTCTCGGTGAAGGTCAAGCAAGTTCCCCGGGATTCTCCAGGATGGTTTTCCTTTGTCAGTGGTGCAGGGGAAGGGGGGGGGGGGCTAGCAAGGAACAGCATGCACGTAACAGTACTCTTAATGGAATTCTAAATAAGAGTATGGCGTATGCCAGTCTTCATTAGCCCAGTCGGTGCAGAAAAATAGAAGGTTAAACTCCATTTCATTTCATTTTCATGATACGTAATATTGTCCAAAGGTAATTTGTGGTTGATGTATAATGCCAAAAGTCTTTCGTGTCTGTTTGGTAAAAGAAATCATGCGCTTTATGTGAAAGATGCTTAAGGTTGTTGTGAGACAGTCAATGACCACCACAAATAAAATGACCACCACAGATAAAATATCACAATGTACTGAAAGCTGATTTTTCTACTGTCCCCTTCTGGTTAGTGGCGGGTCTACATTTTGATGCTTGGACTGTTAGGACCCCCCCCCCCCCCCCACACCCACACACACACACTAACAACACAGTCTTGCTAACCATTGATATCTTCTTCTAAAGAATCGACTCGTCAGAATTCTACCTGGGATATTACCAGGGCAGATATAGCTGTATAGTGCAGTGGGTGCTTACTGCTGATCGCCGGATCCACTCGTTTATGTTCATTGTTTTTAAGTCTTGTCCACAGGTGTTCCTTATAGGTTTTGTTTGCATGTAGTGCGGTCCTCCTGCACTTATTGTTATAATGCGGAAACTATTCTCCCATGAACTTCCATATTCCAGTTCCACCACAACAGTAGACATTATGTGGACGGACTAAAGTCGTTTATTGGGCCCTTCCAGGATTAGAGACCCTGAAGCTTAAGCTTCATTAGTATAATAGTTTGTTATTATCATCTATGATTTGTTGAAGCGTTAGTAAATATTTATGTATCACGCATGACCAATCATCATTGAAAACAAAATTATTACCACCCATTTCCAGGATAACAACTATTTTAGGCTGTACTATCAAAATACGTCAATGGTGTGAATCATTATAGTTTTATCATTTTTGTTTTCACACAAAATGTCGGTTAAATAGGCCCCTTTTTGCGATTAACTTTTTGTTTGTGCCTTGTTTTATGTGTAAATGTTGACATATAATAATGGGTGTTTTACTTTCGATAGGTGTCTGTGTGGCATGAATCATTACATATTTTGTGACGCATTGAGAGCCGTGTGGGGCGGGGTTTGGTGTGGGGGGGGGGGGGCTTACCAGACTCGTCAAATAATAAGCTTAAATATTATGGAAGACCAAATGAGACAACATTCATGGTTCTTGTTTCTACATTCCAGTTTGAATATATTAGACATGAACGCAACATTCTAAACTAATGATTCTTTTTTCTACATTCTTATGTCAAGATTTTGTTATTTTGAGACAGTTGCAATGTAGCGATATGTTTTTAACAGGGCAACAATTAAATTATATTTTGATATTTTATTTGATAAGCCTTAACTTTCTTCACGTGGTGTCACATCGTTCCCCACCTTGGGGTGTTACCCGCATCGTATATGGCCCAGTTTTAATAAATCAGACATAAGTTAGTGGTCTCAACAACCCAAGTTGGTGTTCATTGGACTTAAAATAGACAACAAATTCATATATTCATTTATCAGATTGGTCACCGACCTGATTTTTACCCCGACATGATAGCTTATAAGTTGACGTAAACATTGCTAATACACATTTGATCATTGTGGCGTTTGGGAAGATTAAGAGTGTTTCCTATAATTATTAAAATCGTTTTTAGGAAAGGTTTACATTTGCTACTTTAAGAAACAGTACGAAACTTTGGCTTTTAAAAGTACAAACCACTTTTATATGGTCATTTTATGCGCCCTTTAACAAAAAAATGGACATTGTAATCAGGGTTCGATATTGGTTCTTCTTTAACGTCGATATTTTCAATTGTTCCGAAATAGTTAATCCCCACTGAATATAACCAAACGATGTTCTAGAAAATGCTTTAGTCTAGGGCAGTGTTCTCAACCTTTTGTTGCCAACGGCACACCTTGGAACACATGAAAAAATAGCGGCACACCTGGCTAAATATATACGAAAAAAATATTTGAATTTTGAAATAAAAAGATGGCAAGTCATAGACGGCATACAATCGTAGACACAGACTAGTCATAAGACACATAGAATGACTCAAACTAAATAAAGAAAAACACAGCTAAGAACTTATCAGTAGACACCAGTGAATACTAAATTGGAATCACATGGTTTTTCGCTTTTCGCGGCATACTTAAAAAGATCTCGCGGCACACTAGTTGAGAATCACTGGTCTAGGGGCTCTTTGGGGGGGGGGGGAGGAAAAATAACTGATTTTTCCTGAGATCTAGTTCTGTGGGTTTCAAAAGCAGCCTGACTTGATGACAGAAATTATTTAAGATAATTATGGTTTCATTAAATTTAATCCATGATTGTATTCTTACTACAAAAGGATAAGAAATATAATATTATAATAGATCAATATAGTAGTTATATACATGAAAGCACATAGTATAACATAATAAGCATAATATGCAATTGCCGTACCGAGCATAATATGAAATGTATGAAACGAGCATATAATGAAATGTACGTGCCGAACATAATACGCAATAAGCGCATATAAGTTAATGACGGACTAAACATAACATGCAATTGACGTACATGACACAATATGCAATAAACGTATCGAGCATATGAAATGTCCCTATAGAGCATAATATGAAATGTACGTACCGACCATAACATGAAATAGTTGCATCTAGCATAATACACAATAACCGCATATACCGTGACGGACCAAACATGCAATTGACGTACACAGCAGGACATGCAATAGACGTTCCAAGTCTTATTGCAGTAGGAAGACATACCGATAACTAAGTCTCAAAATACATTCTATGGCAAGACAAGTATCGTTGTACAAAATAGTCCTGTCGCATTGGGAAAAGTTGAGGTATTCTAGCTCTCTCACTTATTGCGACACAGGTTTTTTTAAAGACCAATATAAAAATAGTTTCTTTATCAATAAAGATGGTTTACAACAATGATAAATAATTATAATCAAGGCAATAAGAATAGTTATTTTAATGTACGTTTTCCATTATGATAATAGCAATAGCTATGTAAGTCTTAGTTCGTAAAATATCCTTACACTTAATCAAAATAAACATTACAATGTGAAAGATTTATTAGCACTTTGTTATTTAGCGAAAACGTTTGATTGATTGCATAGATTAAATAGCAAAGTTCAGAGACATTTCAGTCATTTCTGTTCTCTGCAGATTTTACGGAATCTGTTGACTGTTCTATGGTTGTTTTCTCCGTGCCAGTTGTTTTTGATGGCGTTGTTTTCTTTGAATTTTTTGACTGTGTTATGGTTGTTTTATCAGAATCCGATGGGTTGGGTTTGGTTGTTTTATCAGAATCTGATGGCTGTGTTTTGGTTGTTTTATCAGAATCTGTGATCTGATCTATAGCTGTTTTCTCTGAACCGGTTGTTTTTGAAGGCGTTGTTTTCTTTGACTGTGTTTTGGTTATTTTATCTGAATCTGTTGACTGTGTTAAGGAGGTTTTCTCAGATGTGGTTATTTGTATTTTCTCTGAATCTGTTCTTTGTGTTTTGACTGTTTTCCCTGATTCTGTTGTTTGTTCTTTGACTGCTGTATCTGGAGAGTTCGGCTGCATTTTGTCTGAACCTGAACCTGCTAATTGTGGTTTGGTTGGCTTTGCTTTGGCTGGAGAGGTCTTCCGTAGTTTGTAGCCCTTTTTAATATCTGAGAGAAGTTTGTCAATTATACAGTCTTCATTGTCTGATGGTATATCTTTACTCTTACCCGAGGCTGAAATGATATTGTTACATAAAATATTAATATAATCGATCAAACAGATGGGAAGAAAATAAAGAGATAATCCTTCGAGTCGAATCGATCTGGCATTAAACTACCTTATTTTAGGATATATCATTCTAATTGGCATAGCAGCACTAATTTGCCCAAAAAAACATAGATTGGAAAAAATGGTGGTTAACGTCATACTTTTCAGCTAAAACCGGGCTAATGAAGACGGGCAGTGGGCTATGAGGACAATTTGGCCCGGAAAACAATTGAATTCTAACTGCCACAGGTTCTTTTACGTGCACGACAAGATTTACAAGGGGCCTCGGTTTCGTCTCACCCGAACGACTATCTGTATGTAAACTAAACGTTGATACTTCTTCTATTCCAGCATTTTAAGTGTGAAAATCGATGAAAATAGACTTAACCATTAAATATAGATTGTGTACAAATTACGCAATACCTAAGTGGTCGTCTTGCCAATAGCTTCAACTTCCAATTCCACAGAGAAAATACATTTCGAAATATCAAATACAACTTTTTTTTATCATTAGTCAGGTTGGTGTTGAAGCCTGGTACGTTAAACCCATATTATTTCATTTCTATAAAAACGTTGATACTTTTCCCACTACAGCACTTTAAGTTTGAAAAGTATAGGAATATTAAAAACCGATATAGACGCGTGTGACGTTATTAAACACTGTTTGATTTCATTACCTATTACTTTTAAATTGACGATTTAAACGAGCCATTACTTCCGGTACAAGTGAATACTTCATTCTATAACCGATAACAAACACGTGTCAACTTGCTAAGGGGTATGAGGGGGTGGGGGTGTCGAGTGCCCTGGCGCGTGCGCATTAGGTCTGTCATCGAGTCAACTGAAGTGGTTTCGATCAGACACTTGTACGGTCCCCTGCCCAATCTCAGCGGCGGGTTTTATCGAGTACCGATTTCCTTCGACCCCCACCCCCGCACTCCCCAACAGAAACATTTTGAACATTTACTCAAAATTCAAAATATATCGTTTTTACCTAATCATATTCAACACAGGAATAAATCTGTTTAAAGATAGCTGGTTTCATTCAATAAAACGTTTAATCAGGCCGATATAATATATTATAGGAATTTATTTTACAAAAAGTATGTTTGTTTTAAAACAATGCATTTAAGAAAAAGTCTTCTTTCAATTTCAAACATCCAAAATGTTTGACCTATTTAAGTATGAAAAATGCCATTAAATAAAAGATGCAGTATGTAAGACTTGAATGAAGAGCTGAAAGTTCGAACAATAACAGTTTAAAAATTGATAAATTGAAAATTTCATTCAAATTACTTCATTTTCAGCGACGTTATGGATGATTATCAATTTTTATATTAAATTGAGGATCATATTTCAATCTGTTCAAAATCACAACAGTCCGATGTTCTAGAGAGTTGATTATGGGCTTGCTATGTGAATAAATGTCTAAACAATAATGTATATAACATTTGAGGCCCAAACAAAGATCTGAAATAGGCAGATTGTGCTCTTACATAATGCATCTTTAATCATTAATTTGTATTATACATTACCATCTCTTTTGGCGCGCAATTCTTCTTGTGCTATTTTTCTTTTTGCGGCCCGCTCTTCCTGTAATTGTCTTTGAGCGTTTTCCTAAAATAAACAACAAATATATTCACATAACAAGCAGGCTGTTTCAATATGGACAGTTAGGTTGATGATAAGAAAGAATAGAAAGTGAACATGGTTTAACGTCCTCTCAAACAGACTTAATGTTGGGCCTAATGATCTAAAGTAACGAACTAATTGACTTAATGACAAAAACCGTGGGATCAATTTGACATTTAACTATGACTATAGTTTCGTGTTAAGTATACGGGTGAGCGTTGGGGGGGGGGGGAGGGGGTAATTTTGTTCGAATACCATCTGACACGAGGGCTGCTGTGTTACGTGCGGTTCCAACACGTTTACACCAGATCTCTGATTTCTATACCACCATATATTTTGTATGAGTATTTGGTTAAGCGGAAATCTGTATATTTTCCGAAAATACAAACCTTTTCACATTGCTGAACTTTTTCACAGAATATTTTCATGTTTATGAGACACTCCTCTACTTTGAAACTAGCTTCTGCTTCACAGAAATGATGAGCCAACTTCTTGGTCAATTCGTCTATATTTTTCAATAACTCCTCGGCTTCTTCGATGTCTTTAAAACCATCCTAGGTTATAAAAGTACAAAATGTACAAGAAGGTGTGGTAAATGAATTACTAGGAACGAATGGAATGGAGGGGGAAGGGGGTAATGTCTCGTCAACACAACACAATTTGAGACTAAAGTGTGGTCCTATTTATTTCTATGGTTACGTGTCATGTGAGGTAGAATAATTTTATTGGAATGGAATGAGGTTAATGTTTCGTCAGCGCAACGCATTTTTACACAACTATGGATATTTCTATTCCTACGCTTACGTCTGCATTGTGAGGTAGGATAATTTTGCCCAAAAGTAGATTTTCTGCCTATTTTTCTTCAATATCCAACTGTCAATGGTTCATGTGTAACTGAGTCAACCTCGGTTTTCATACCATCCAAACAATTTGACAAATTTTCCTTGTCATCCTGGCAGTCGCCATGACAGTAACATGTGAAGGTCGGGCTTGAGCTCTAAAAACACCGAGGGTTCTTCACACCGGGATTCGAACTAGGAGTATTCTCATCGATGGTCCACAAATAAAGTGCTCCCAACTTCCATCTTCTCCTACGACCCCATGATCTCAAAATAAAATACAAATCAGTACTTTTAAAATCACATGACGATTTTAAAGGCAGTTGGATGGGTCGTGTATATAATACAACTTTCGGTTAGTAACGATCGATCATCTGATTTTGGAGTAGAAGAGAAATTACGATTTATTAGTGTAGTGTGCTAAATAAACAAAATGGTATACTTTTAATATTACAATACCTCAAGAAAGGTGTTAAACTGTTGCTGAACATCTTGGTCAGCCTTCTCAACGTGTGATTTTAATGTCTTTATACTGGCTAATGCCTGAGATTTTTCACCCGTTAAATTATCAACTGTCAACCTGAAAAAAAAGAAAAGAAATGAATTGGGGTTTAACGTCCTACTTTTATTCACCGACCGGGCTAATGAAGAAGGGCATACGCATGCAGTGTGCCATGAGCGAATTTTTGTCCAGACAGCCGCGCTACTTGCTAGTCTTATTTCAAATTCCAACTGTCAAGGTTTATTTTACGCGCATACCTCGGGGTTTCATCCCATCCGAACGACTAGAACCTGTTCCTTGCCAGGTCCTCCGTCCTACACAACCCGGTGGTTAGTAAGCCAGCGCCCTACTCGCCGAGCCACCGCGTCTTCTCTTTAAAGATAATGGACCTGACTATTACCTGGAAGTTCTCGGCATTCCCATGGATGGAGACAGTCTACTTTGTTCTCAACACCTATCTAGCAGTTCATTTCAAACAAGACAAGCGGTTGCAATGCAATATACGCCCACATTTTACAGGAGATGGACAGAGAGCAAGCCAAAAACGCGATTGTTGTAAAATCAGGGGGTCACAGTCCAGGAAGTTACGACCAATATCGAAAGGGATATACATGTACATGTTAAGTTTCATCAAAATCGGATAAAAATTGTAACCTCTAAAGTGTCTACAAGTAAAGAATTTTTTCTTCAACCAGGGGCCATAATTCATGAAGTTACACTCCGATACATGCCGATATCGAGAAAAAACTAACGAGATCTTTGGGATATAAAATATATTTCAAGTTGCGTCAAAATCGGATAAAAATTGTGACTTCTAGAGGGTCCATCACAACCTTGGTACATGTATTACGTGCTTTTACACTATTTGCGTACAGGGGACTGTAAGTTTCGGCCCGATTTTCACATAATTCGAAGTCAACTGTCATTATGGTGTTACGGTGATATATTTAAACGTTTTTTTAATTGGATAAAATTTGTAACCTCTTAAGGGTCTACAAGCTAAACACACGGTTTTGGGTACAATCAGGAACTATAACTCTGGAAGTTACGGTCCGATACAAGCCAATATCGACAGTAACCGAGATCTAAACCTATATTTCAAGTTTCGTCAAAACCGGATAAAATTGTGACCTGTAGTGTGTCCACAAACAAAAAGTGAACGGACCAACAGGGGCGACGACAATATACGTCCACTGTATAGTTTCCAGCTGAGTATCACACCTCGAACGCTGCTACTAATAGTTACACTTGTCGGTCGTCAGAATTACACTACTAAATTACCACAAATAGTAGTTAGCGAGAATGAACCAAGGCTCGAATGAAAGGAAGGGTGTAAAGGAATGAAAAGAACCATACCGAGATGCTATAGTTAAAGCGGGCAGTAATTCATCAACAAAGTCCAGAACCTGGTCATGTTCTTTATGAGCATCACTGACGAGATAGTGTAGTAATGTAACTCTGGGTTTATTAGCTCGGGTATCCATTAGTTTATTAAGAGATCCTATTTTAAACCCTAGAGCATTACCCGCATAACCACCCTACAAAATAAAACAAAATAAATATTACCATCATAACAACCACTACAAAAAACATAAAATATATTACCGACATAACAACCCTACAAAATAATACACAATAGATATTACCATCATAACAACCCTACAAACAATATTACCAAGATAACAACCCTGCAAACTAATATACAATAAAATTTGATAAGATCAACAACGTCAACGCTTTCATTAATATGGCCGAATTTGATTTAAATCTTAGCTTGATCTAATTTGTCAAAAAAAAAGTTATCAGTGACTGACTATCTTCAAAATATATAAGCATGATTGAACTGTGGGATCAAAATAAAATTCAGCTCCTCTAATAAATCAAATATGACCAATCAAATGCCAATTGTGTTCAATTATTCTTTAATTTGCTCCTTTTCAAGTTTTTGCCTTACAAATAACCAGAAGTAACTAACTTGATAAAAGATTCTATACTTACAGCATTCATAAAATTGCCCGTATGAAGGACATATCTGAGAAAGTCTTTAAGGGTTTCGTTGTGTAATAAGCCTTCACAAGCTTTTATCATTGCTTTAAGGTTACCCTGTAGGGCTTCCATATTTATACCAAACTCTTCTTTTAGGAGCATGCCATCTATTCTCGTTTTATAAGAAGGAAGTGTTACTGTTTCTAGAAAGAACTTTTCAGCGTTACCCAACTTGGTCTTGTCCCCGTCAAACTCCTTGAGCATGTTTATCTAAAATAAGATAATATATATATATATATATCATTGTCTGTTGAGACGAATATATAATCAATTATGGCTATAAACGTCCTTGTTGACAATTTTCTTTCATAAAGAGACATGTGGTGTAACAACCATCCAAAACAAACTAGGCCATTGGGAGACAGACATATAGTTATTTCGATAATTTGCATGCGGGGGTGGGGGTTTTAGCGGTGAGGGTAATGAAATGAAATGCGGTTTAGCGTCTAACTGTTCTGCATGGACTGGGTTAATGAAGACGGCAGTGAAAATAAACAGGAGAAATCCCACAAACTTAGTCAATGTCATAGTAAAATACAGTTTATTTTGTTTTAAATTTATCTCCGATATGCCGTGATTACTCCATCTAAAATACGGATATTCTAGAAAAGAATTTATAATTCTTTGTCTCACAGTATCAGAATAAATGAATCTAGTCACGCACATACAGTTATATGTTGTTACGAAACCCATCAAACACGGAAATAAGTCAATTACGGTGTTAAATATATGCTTACTGAAGCGAAATACGATACATTTATTCAACCTATACTGCCAGATGTTTTTTTTTTTAGCAAATTAGTCTCAAATACTCTCAAATCTAAAGTTAAATTAGATATTCGCCGTCACCGTATGATTCAACCTAAATGAACACTCACTAATCAAACTGAATTAAATATACATCTGTCCGATTTGAATTCTGGGCAAAGATAATTTTGGAACGGTATTACAGACATTCAATGGTATTATAGGCAATCAGAATGTCAAAAAGAAATTTGATTTTACTCCACAAAAAGGAGTGGAGGGGATCATCAAAAACAAATTTACAAAAGATAAATGTTTTGAGATGAAACACTCAAGGCCATTGCACATGTACACAAATAAATTAAAATGGGGGTTCTAACTCAACCTCATCGGTCAAAGTGGCACGTTTTTTTCAGCTTTTGTAAAGACATTAAGCATTACCTCGTCAGTTTCTGGAATAATTTTTTGAAGTCCGAGTAATCGTTCTGGTCCAATAACTGCTGGATCACCTTTCCTCACCATTTCAATTATATCTTTATTACTAGCTTTGAATTGTTTTAAGAATATATTCACGTTCATACTTCTCTTGGTATCTAGTAAATTAATCTGTAAAAAAAAAGAAGATAAAAAAGACATCGGAGTTCGGTAAAACGCAATTCATTGTCAAATATAGCCCACACTTAAAGATTCTGATCGTCAATCGAATGATTTTCGTAAACTACATTATTATTAAAGTTGAACCTCTAAATGCAATATCAGTCCAATAATGGTCAAATTCACTCCAATATTACAAAGATATGATAGATGAAAATTTCTCCTGCATTCGGAATAAGATAGTCTAAAAAATACCAATGATGATTAGGGGCTTTAAGAGATTAAGAGATGTTGTTGATTAATATAGACACATTCATCAAGCTGGAATGTGTCCAACTATTAATTATAATTGCCTGTAACAGACGGGAAACATCATAATTTACACCACGTTATAGTTTATATTCACGACAGAAGCGGCCGTCAGGTCTATGAAACCTGACAGAAGAGTAGTTTCTACCTTGGCCTAAGGCCAAATGGAAAGATTGCAAAATCATATTCTAAAAAACTGGAATCAGCTTCGGCTCTCCTATGTCTTGTCTGCGATATCACTAGTTTCTACCTCTTTGAACGGACATTACAGAAGTATCGTGCGCGAAGCAGGATCTGCTTATAACACCTGACAATCCATTAGGTAGCTCAAGGCAAACGTTTTATGTACTAGGCCTACAATTTATTTTAGTATCCGAGGAACTTGGGTTATGGTTGACCGTTGATGAAAAGAAGTTAACAACAAAGAAATTGATAACTACCAGAGACAAGACCTTTTATCTGTGTTCCCAATATAAGTATAGCCATTTTACTTATACACATTTGGAAATATTTGTAATATAAAGACCCAGTCCAATCGAATACACCCGATAAGGAACTACTAGGTTTTCCGGAAAATTTATCCATACCCTGCCTCAATTACGGCAGACACCACTGTTAGAAACTAGTGTTATTTAAAAGCCACTAACCTCAGTTGGAGGTTTGGCTTTTACAACCCCCTTTTCTTCAGCTTTAACAGTTTTCTGACAAAATAATTGTTCAATGTCATCATATTTTACTTTCACTTTATCCTGCATCTTCAACACATCTTTCCATACATTATCATTGTCTGAAAAAAAATATAACGTGCGTTTGCCACAAACACAACCGAGGGCATCGCTCACTGAGTAATCCCCACTGTCGACCGCATCGTGTGATCAAAGATAAAAAAAAACGAATAGAAAATACAATCTGATTAAAATACAGATCTATATTTCGTTTCGTTTTTTTTTATAAGTTCGATGGCCTACACTACATGAAGGTCTGACAAGTGATAGGAGTTCACGTTAGTGGTCAAACGAGCGGCTTTTGGCCCTATGACGTGAGACATTGATTAATCAATGAGCGTTGGCGTTTCTAGTGGTTTAGCCACAGTTCCGTGCATCAAAAGGCCAAGGCCGTTTCATTGACTAATCCCTCACATCATCCTAGTGTAGTAAAGACAAGTAAAGCGAAATTTTGAACTATAAAAACGTAACGAAATGGGATCTGGTTAGAAAGTAATTAAAACTGAATAATTAAAACCTGCGGCCGAAGAACAACAAAAATAAACCAAAATTTATAAACACTGACACCCTTTTATACAAATAAAAGAGGTCCATACAAATTATTTTAGTTCATTTAACTAATTACTCTTCGTGTAAATGCACGTAAAAGATAATAATGGCTGACTTACTATTTAACACATGGGCAGATAACTTAGACCAGTTAAACGTCTTCATCTTGTGCTTTGGACGGGGTGTGTTTATGCCTTTAAGGTTGGAAACTGGAACCTGGAAAACTCTTGGTGCTCCAAATGGTGGTGGCACTGGTGGTGCACCTCCAGGTGGCGGTGGTGGTGGAGGGGGAGCTGCACTGCCTGGTAACGGTGGTGGTGGAGGGACTGATCCTGGTAATCCAGGTGGTGGAGGTGGTGGAGGAGGCGCTGTTCCTAATGGAGGTGGTGGGGGTGGTGGGATGGGGATGGATGGTCCGCCCAGCATTGGTGGTGGGGGTGGGGGTGGCGGGATGGATGAAGATGTTCCATTTGGAACTGGTGGCAGGAATGGGGTCCCATTGCTGAGCATCGGTGGAGGTGGTGGGGGCGGTATAGCCCCGGGAATCAAAGCAGTTCCAGACAATGTGGGTGGAGGGGGTGGAACTGGAACTCCGTTGGGTAACACACGCAAGGAAGGAGCTTGTCCATTTGTCACAGATCGAGGCACAGAATGAGTTAATACTCCATTGGACGAAGATTGAATTATTTCAGCCTCGATGGGTTTGTTTAACAGATTATATGTAACTTCTTCCACAAGAAAATCAGTTTGTACGGCTTTGTTATTATTACCATCAGTTAAAGCTATATTGCTATTTTCCACAGCTTTATGGAGAATAAAACACTTTTTGGCAGCCTGTTCCATAACATTCCATTGATTATCACTGAAGAATAAAAAATCTATAAACAATTTTATCTTAATTCGGTCATAAAATATAATTTTTCAAGAATGTGAATACAAAGTATAGTCTGTTAACTTATAGAAACAACTGTATATTGTTAAGAAAAGTGCTTAAAGAGACATGACGCTTCGATTTCGTTCTTCACTTCCATTTAAAAGATATCTGAATTAAATCAATTCGGCCTTGACTGGGCAAAATGTAATGTTATACAATGGTACCTTATTATTATACCAGATACCGGTAATCTGCAATAAGTCTCAAAATGATCGAAGTTTTACGGTGATGAGACGTTAAATCCCCTTCTATTCCATTCTAGGTCTAGGATATCATTCGGAATAAACAATGGTCCTGATCAATTTTTAAAGAACATACAACTGACCTGATAAAATCATCTGGATCAATATGAAGTAAACTTTGTAAAATAGTAAGAAACACGTCAGCTTGTGGTGTATTATATACCTGTAATATGTATCATTCATATACCACAGTTTGTTTATTTGTCAGGTGGATAATACTACAATGTTATCGTTATAAATGCCCAATTTACTAGACACTAACATCACATAAAATACGGTTAACCGTAGTAAAGTGGGGGGGGGGGAGATTATGACCTATGTCCTTAGACATCAGTTCAGATACATTAGATATCAATTTAAAATTTGTAATCGATTTTGAAGATTAAAAATTTGTTTGACCTCTCTGAAGCCAACAAAAAAGACCGCGCAGTTGAGAGGAAAGCAATTTCAAACTCTGAATTAAATTCAAAATGTTCTTTTATACAAGGCTCTTGAAATTCACTATAGTAACATGGTGCAAAATGTGTTTTAAAAATTACAACCTTTAACAAATGTCATTTTCGTTGTATTCTCCCTTTACAAAACCTTTATTGAAATCATATAACATCGCCATTTAATTAGAAGGTGTTAGATAAATATAATCTATTATAATATGAAAGGGTATATTAAATATATATCAAAATATTATCATAATAATATAAACAAAGCTTTAAATAACCAGAAAGAAAATATGACGCTGTTGGTGTTATTATGGGGTATGTATTACACATTTAATATTATATATATATATACATATACAACAGTATATACAACAGACAACAGTAGCTGCAAGAGATAGACAGTATATACAACAGAGAGAGAGAGAGAGAGAAATGGGGTTTAACGTCCACTCAACACAAACTAGGTCATTTCGGGACTAACATGGTTTAATTTTAGTTACATAATTCGCTTGCGCGTAGGGGTCTTTAGCAGTGGGAGGAAACCGGAGGACCCGGAGAAAACCCACGAGGTTGGACAGGCGACCCTACTCCTTGTCACGTACAACCGGGGATTCGAAACCACGCCAGTCGACTCAATGACAGACTTTATGATACAGCGCGCGCACGCTAACCATTCAGCCATCCAACCCCCCTTATATACAACAGACAACAGTAACTGCAAGAGATGGGCAATATAAAACCTCCCAAAAAACTGAAAAAAAAAACGGGCGATTTTTCGGACAATAGGGGCCATAATCCAGGATGTTACGCGCAAGTATCAAAAGAAACCCAGATATGTGGGATATAATCATTTAATTTAAGTTTCATCAAAATCGGATTATGGTGTAATAGTGATATATGTAAACGTTTTTTTTTAATCGGATAAAAATTGTGACCTTAAGTGGGGACCACAAACTAAAAACGTGATATTTTTGTACAATCAGGAGCCATAATACAGGAAGTTACGGTCCGATATACGCCAATACCGAAAAGAACCGAGACCTATGGGTAATAAACATCGATTTTAAGATCTTTTCACGTAGTCTTCACCGGAAAGCAGTCGGTCCGATGTCCCAGAACTACTCAGTTCGGAACTGGGTCTGGTAATAGTATTATCAATTCAAATGGAAAATATAGATGCACGGTCACCATAATTTCATGTAAGGCTGGATAGATGGACGATCGAATTAATAAGGTTAAACGTTCCCACTTTTCTGCAGTGGCTAAAGAAGCCAGGGGGGGGGGGGGGGGGGCGAGAGGTGATTCAGAATAGTAATCCAGGTTACATAACTTTTAACAGCTCAACATACCTTTTGAATAATGCCGTTAAATAACTGTAGAGGATTATTGATATCTATATTATTGGTAGATATAATTGATGTAATTTCTTCTTCATCATCATGTCTTTCTTCATCAAATACATCACATTGTATAATTAAATCTTCATTTTCTTCATCACGTAACGTATTTACAATATCCAAGAAATTCAAACCTAAAGACAGTCTCATATTTTAAACCATTGCAACATAATATTCAATTTAATGTGAAAACTCATCTTTCTCCGCAATCCCAAAATTCATTCAAGGGCATATTACGCCTTTGCCTCTTTAGATTTGCACTAGTAATTTGTACGCGGTTCGTCGTTTTTACCATTCGAACAACCAGACACAATTTCCTTCTCTAGTCCCCAGTAGGCACCGAACACGGATAAACATAAGTACTCAAAATTTAATTTGTATGTCCTACTTTTTTGCACGATCGGACCAATGAAGACGAGCATACGCCATGTAGTGTCGATATTTTGCCAGGACAACGGTGTTTTCGCGTTCTTTTACGTGCAAGCTAACGTGTGTACACGGTACCTCGACACAACAAATAGATGATGTTCCTTGCCCGACCTTCCTCTCTGCACCACTGACAAATGCAGACCATGCTGAAAAATCTCAAGGAACTTTCTAGGCCAATACAGGGATCGAACCCGGAACTTCTATCTTCTCTGATTTGCTATGGTGCAATTATGTCCGTTTATTAGATTCCTTGTGCGGGACTTATTTAATCCCTCAAAAATCCTATGGTTCTTCTTGGCCTACAATGTTATTTTAGTTGTGGGCGTGTACCCCAATTGTATGACTACTACTACCCAAGTCACGAAAGAAAATACTAATGAAATAGAAGCCAGCTTTACCTATGAATTGATTTCTTATAGATATGCGTTCTTGTAATTCATCTGTTCCTACTAGAATACAGTTGATAAACGCCATTAATGTGGTCTTGTATGGTAGTAATTCAGCATTCTTTAACTCATTAACAATTATACTGAATCTATATCTTTGTTTCTTCATTGTCTACAATTTAAAAATAATTCTTACATTGTCTACAATTTAAAAATAATTCTTACATTGGAAAATCAATGAATCGAATGAACTTTTCAGGACGAAGGATTCTTTGAAGAGGTCATTAGAACATTCAGATTGCTGATACATAATACATGCTAGCAGTTCATCTACAGATATGTAGATCTAACATATTTTGTATTTTGACCAATGAGTAGGTCATCTAGTAGACTAGATCATTAGATCTTGGGCCTGTCACCAGTTCAGTTGCGGTTTGGATCATACGATTGTATAGACGACAAGGTTCAATGCTGTCTGCCCATTTCTTGGGTTTCAACAGAGTCCCTACGGTTTACCTCAAGCCTAAGGCATCAAACGATTTATTGAAGTCAAAGTATATCCTAGTCCCGAAATTAAAATGTTTCTGTCATGTCAGCTATCCTCATTTCAATTCCCTTTCATTGTTCTCGACAGAGCCCACTTTTGATACGTCTTGGGAATTAGGCTAGACTAAAACATCAAGAAAAAGCTAAAAATAGCTAAAACTCTTAGAGTTGGATATGAAACAAGATTGTGTTCTTATGTGATATTTCAAGTATTGATGGGACAAACTATAAACTGTCATATATTTGTTTGGATAGATTAATCAGAAGTCCTTTTCTTTATAATCTTAGTTGAATGTTTGTCTTTCTGTATGACACAGGAACACACAATTCATTATAATAATATATCAACATTTGCTTTATTTATGGGCGTAAAATTTTGAACGAAGACAGTTTATCATCCAAAAAAACAGACCCAACATATTAAATCCAGTGAAATCGACAATTTTATTCTAATCTAAGAGCAGTAGTCATTATAAAGGTTTTTATACCTTAAATGTATCGAGAGCGTCCAATGCCAGTCTGTAACCATCAGGTGAATAGACACAAAGTGCTGACAATAACTCAAATACTTGCTTCTTTACCATTACATTTGGTGTATCCAATGCTAAAAAATAAAAACAATGTTAGTGACCATTGCCCCGAGGTTACAGTTGATGAAATATTTATCTTCTCAGATGCAAGTTTAAGCTATGACTCCATTTTCGGTATATGATAAAGTAATGTTTAGCACGATAATGGGTTTGCTCAAAGAGTTGATATCGCTTTGGAGGTCTTACTAAAAATTAAAAATTGTTCGACATGACGCTGTAATTGACTACACGGTCGCGTTGGCAAATTTTCCAAAATTAAACTGAGCTTTTGCCGTTTAATATTTCAGTAATACACGCTTGTTGACCAGTGCTTTCCAAAGAGTTTATTGAACGCTCGTGAAGAAACTATATCCGAGATCGTTGGTACGGATTTTCGATAATTATTCTAACGTTATTTTGCATATAATGTTATTAAGGATTAATAGAATTTATTTTATTGGTCTTGAGTTTCATTATAATGTTACGTTTGCATTTCTATTTTTTGTCTACGTTGGTGACCCATAGTTGAGTACCAGAAGTCTAGTCTTCCGAGAACATCAGTTCAAAATGTATGCCTACATATACTTTATTCCAATCTATCAATCGACTATATTCTAATAACCGAACCTTTGAGAAATGTCATACACGTATAACATAACATAAATATCGTTTAATTGATTTTAATTCAACTTATTTTATAGACACAACGTAAATAAGGAAAATAACAAAATACAAAAACATAAAGGTTTCCTTGTACTTTACAAATACCAATAATAAATTATAAAGAATTAAGGACTATATTATATATACACAAATCAGTTTCTAATCAAACAAGAGCAACGCTACCGCTACAAAATACGTCACGCTGCTTTGATTGATATGGTATTTTTTAAAATGAAGAGAATGAAATATGAAATGGCTACAACGACTGTAATATGACAAGAGGCAAAGAAAGCTAGGTGTTGGGTTTGTTTTGCCAAAATTTACAGACTGATTATTAACAAAAATATGGGTGTGACACCGCCCCAGGGTGTAAGGGCATGCACCAAGATAAATAGTTGCTGTCTTTACGGTATAAGGAATAAATAGGCCAAGTTCCACGATGATCCATTCAGAATTGCTGTCTGTAGACAATAAACACAAAAATTGGGCGTGGCTCTGCCCCTGTGTGTTGGACATGGAACAATATAAATAGGTACAACTCTGTTGTTGAAATAATTGATGTGATGATTTTAAACAAAATCTGTTCATATTCGCAACCTGTAGAGTATTTACAGGGTCGGGTCTGCACCAAAAATATAAGAGTTAATCCCTAAGTTATAAGGAATAAGTATGAACAGTTTTTAAGATGATCCATTAAAAATTATGGCGACACACAGACACACAAAGAGAAAATGGGCGTGGCTTGTTATATTCGGAACGAGACTCACATTTTCAGTAGCAGACTCGGTTGGGAAAAAACAGTTTCATGATGTTCTAGTCGGGCTTCAAAAAAAAAAAAAAAAAAGAAAAATAGGTGTAATGCTGAAAGCAAGCCCTTTTGTTGTTCAAACGTCCCCTGAAAGTGCAATTTTTTTGTCAAACTGTGGTTAAACGTAAGTCAATCAATCAATAATTCACGTTTGAAATAAAAATACATAGTAAATGTCAGAATAGCCTATGTTATCTTTTATATTCAATCAATCCCTTTTACTGTTTCCTTTGTTTTGACCTATAAAACTTTTAAACATTTCATAACTATTTTTTTAAAAAATGTCACTGTCGGCGGCGATATCAACTCGGTTGAAGCAGACGTTAAAAGTTATTTCAAACTCCTGGGGCGTCATCTGTATAATTCCATATATATTTATCTGAAACGAAGCTGATACCCCATGGTCATTATTGGCGACAAATAAGCTTAAGTGGATAAACATGAACTTTTGAACCAAATTAAACCTTTCCCCATCTGTACATGACATTGTTTATCGCTAGGTGATAATTATAATGACGGGGTGGGGGATCAATAATATAAGGGAACTTGTTAATAGATGTTAAAAATATTGACAAAAATACATACATAGCCGAAGGGTACAGACCATGGTACAATTACGTATTATTTACTGCTTGTAGAAGATTAGTTTACTTGTATTGAAAAACGGGGTATACAAAAAAGATGTTTACAAAACATTATTTTCCGAAAATAGATATACGGGAAACTTCAGAATTAAATCAATCTCGTTTGTCACTTCCTTTGGGTACTTAAACAGGAGTATACGACAAAATAAAGTAAGGTTTATTTCATATGAGTGTCCTGTCCACAATTAAAGGGTGTATAGATCTATTCTTTGGAACCTTGAAATGATTTTAAAATGTCCATTATGTCTTAAATACTGGATATTAGGACCTCATATTTTCACGGTGAGATAACAAGATCAACATTAATTGAAATGGGCCAATATTGAATTCTAATTAGTGTTTTTAATTTCGAATATTATGAATACTATTGAGTTAGAGGTTTAGCTCCTTTAATATTGTGAATGCAAAAATATGAAAAACACTTTAGACTTTAAATAAACGAAGGGGTTTTTTTTATTTATTTTTTTATTTTTTACAATAAACACTTGTGAAGATAATAGTTTACTGACTACAAGGATAAAATATATTTAAGATATTATTATAGTTCTTTGGGGAGGAAAAATTAAAACACGTGGAGCTTGGCAGAAATTATATGTCTTTTAAAGTCGCCCTTTGTACACAGCCATTGTTTTCAGCCGATCCCATTAAACAAATTATCTTTTCAACGTCACGTCTCGCCTAACGTGTGAAATTCATAATTTTTGTGCATCAACTGAAATAAATTCAAGTATAAAAATAATATTTCTGTTCTGGGTAACTTTTAAAGGAAAGATCTGGGTGTAACGTCTCGTCAATATAATACTACGTTTATTTCTTTCCTGTATAAATAGTTATGCAAAGTTGGGGGAGAAGAATTTTGCCCGGGCTGTGACGTTTGCGTCTATTCTTCATCGAATTCCTTCGGTCAAGGACTACCCCGAAAAATTAGACCCGCGTTTTAACTAAACAGTCCACGACCGTGACCCATAATTTTAAAGGTGGTTTAACGAGTACTACATATAGTTTCCAATTTGTTGATTGATTTTTTTATCCCGTGAAATCAAACCTCACAATAATTTAAATAATCAGAAACGTATATACCTGTTGCAAAGCGAGGAGCGTAGTTTCCATTTTGAACTAAGAAACGTAACCCTTCGTTAGAATTCATACAGGCTTTGATGCATAACACACATTCCAGTCTCAAAGTGGCATTGAGAAAATCTGATTTATTCGTAGATAAATTATCTAGACACTCAAATAACAGTTCCAATCCGTGCAGACGTAAGAAGTCCTGGATCCATTCCGTATCCGCTCCGGCTATTTTCTTGCGAAGGTGGCAAAGGTTCCTAAGTGACGGATTTTGCAGTAAAAATATATAAGTCCCTGATATAAAGCCATGTCCATTAGATTGAGTCTTCTTGGTGTTTTTATGTCTTTGCAAGTCTGAAACCGTTTCTGTGTCATTCATGGTGAATGGGGTCAATTTAAAATCAAAGAAATGCCCACAGTCAGATAATTATTTTAATTGCTATGAAGTTTCATATGGTTCATTGTCGAATTGTACCTTATGGAAACTTAAACGCGCAACATATGGTCTGATTTTACAGCCAGACAAATTTTGAAGAGATTAAAATCATATCAGAACGTAATCTATTTTTACAAAATAAGAAATTAGGTGTAATAAATTTATTGGATTGTCAATAATTCTGACCCCATAATACTACCTTATTTAAACGATCATTTATAAATTACTATATAGCACATTGGTGGAAATGTTCAAATTCGATGGTCATGCATATTGTATTGGTTTGTTTTAACACCATTGTGGAATTACTTAATCATAACACTTTATAAATTAATTCGAGAATACTCTTCGTCTGTCAAAGGGTTATTTCTTCATTAATTCGTTAATCTCCTCGTTTTAATAAAGGAATTAGTGTGTGGCCCTGATACGATAAGATATTGTTATCTAACTCTGAGAGCACAGAAACGAGAATCACTGAATTCCAAACACTCAGCAAAATAGTGATTCAATTATCACTATTACCACAAAGAATATAATATTAATCAAATCCTCGCACTCCTTATTCCTCGTTATCGAACATGCGCATTAATAAACTCGCATTACTAAGAATAACATCCCACAACTTCCAAATACTCCCAAATTTCAAGAAACCGTTTCGACATCTTTAGTCTTTTAGTTAATTAATTGTTGCTTAAACTTTCCAACAATTACTTGAAATCGCATAATCCATGGCGTGAACACATTTTCTGTATTCCACAAATTTCAAACTCCAATTAGGAAAACAAATATAAGAATAGTTTGTTGTAGTCGAGAAAAACTTCTTTTATCTGGGTTCTGCGCTAGATGTACAAAAGGCTTAATTTGTATACACAAACCGCGGCTATACTGAACCAATAAAACTACTAAAATGTGCTTAAAACTGCCACGTGACAATCGGGACTTAGTGAAGTAACAAAGACTAGTATTGTCAGCGTGAAAATATTTATATATACGCTTGGTGATGGATTGTAGGAAAGATGCATATAAAACAATTGCTTATTTATAGGTATATAGGTATAACTGTATTTATAGTAAGTATAGTACTGATAACAAATATTGTATAACGAAATATGATGGCATAACCATGGAAGCGGTAGCGGTTTCTTTTTATCGTTGGTCCTTTGAGCATACCGCATTAAAATTGGGGTGAATTTGGGCATTATTACGCAGACAAAGGACCAGTTTTAATATCAAAATGAGCAAGATTATAAAGCATACCTTGTTTCGTATACGAACCTGCCACAACATGGGTCCATCTTTTAAACTAGATATTATGAAATCGGATAGAAGTTTGTTATCACAAACGTAAAGTATCGTCGTCTAATATAAAATACAAAATATATGAAAAACCTTTGGACAGAAAATAGTTTACATCTGTGGAATTTCCTTTTAAGTATAAAGCCATTTCAATTTCCTATTTACGAAATGTCAATCAACGTTAGTTACTATAATTAAAACAGTGGAGTTGTTGTATATTACCATATGTTATTGAAGGGTTAAGTGGCTATGATTTGATTATTATGTCTGCATATTAAATGTCAATCATTTATTATAACAATTTCAAATTGGTATCTGATATCGCATCTGGCCTTTATATTATAGTTAAAGTTATTTGAATGGGAGGAAAGAACAGGGTTTGCCGCATAGCACAGAGTATGGGCCAGCATGCGTATGCCAGTAGCCCCGTCGGTGCAGAAAAGTAGGACCTTAAACCCATTGTCACTTTATATGAATGAGGCACATTAACGGCCATCTCAAACTGGGGTAGAAATATAAAAAATACAACTGCCCTGGCAAACGTGTCTTATCGATTTGCACTTTTCACGTAAAGGACTTCAGCGACCCCATGAAATTTGTTTAAGAGTGGATTGTATTTATCTCACATTGTCATCTTTACGTGTTTTTGAGAAAAAAGCAATTTTGCCGTGCCTTGCAACCCATGTCCTAATAATGTACGTCGGTATATGGTATTTACTAATCAATCATAACATCTTATACATATAATCGTACATAACCCTCGAGCATACTGACTCAAAACATAGTCATTTAAAGAGAGAACAGGCCACACTAAAATATCAACTTTAATACCAATCTGCAGTACTCTTTCTAATATCCCTAATATTTGTAACATATGTAATTACCATTTGCTAACATCGACAAATGATATAATTGAGACTAGCAGATGGCAAATTCTATTTCTATGATCACGTGTGTAAAATACAGTAATGCGGGGGTGGGTGGGGGCAGATCGGGGTATTTCCGCCTACTCATCTTCTAATTCCAACAGCCGATGGGTCTTTAACGTGCACATCAATGTGTACGCCGGTGGACATCGGGTTGTCGTCCCATCCGTCCTATTAGACGCATCTTTTGCCAGCCCGGCAGAGAAACGAGCTTGAAAATATTTTGATGAAGTAGGCCTACACATGTACATTTATGTAACATGTTTATTCTAAATATATGTATTGTATGTCTTTGACAAAACTACTGGGTAATCGATGCTTTTGCGAAAGTGGTTGAACAATTGAAGAAGTGCGTTCGTAAAAGATACTGTGAAGCATACATTTAATTCTTTTAACTTCAATGTGTTATAATTGAGTATGTAGTCCGATGACAAAATAAACGCAAAATCACCAACTTTGACCAATTTCTCGTCTATGCAAAGACTTCTGGGCTGTCTGTAATTGATGTTTGGTAATTCCAAGCTATGTGGGATGGTTTAATATTACGAGTATCTCACATGTTTTTTGGGTAAAAATTTTAAATTCTAAATTTAATGTTGTCTGAATTTGTGAAATAGATTGTGTATACTTTCACTAGTATTTAAACATCCAAGTAAATACCCCTTATCTGTTTGCAGTGATGAGCCCAGAAAATTATAAATATCTTGCATTCAACTTTAAGGGGCTTATTGTATTTGTAAAATATGTATAGTACAGTAATGTATTTTTTCTACCTCTTAAATATATTAACAATATTTTTAACACATAATTCACAAAATGGGATGGTGAATTCGTTGATTTTAAAAGCACTGTGTCTGTAGGCGTAATGCAAACATCTATAATGAGGTCATAATACACCTTCGCATATACGTTTAGGTTTATAGTTTTACAGAACGTACAGTTTTTGGTACGTTTAAGAGATAATTCGGATTTTTAGTACGTTTTGTGATAAGAAATCCTCTGACGATTGTTTGCTTTTTTAAAGATCAAATCAATGTTAAAACGTATTCATTAAAACGTATTCAACAAAGTCACTTTAATGGAATAAATCAATTGAGAGGGGCAAACCTGTTAGAAATAAAATTCTTGATTTCCAAAATTTGGTTATTTTGACGTCGTGCTGGATATAGGGCACCATAATACCACCAGTTTAATTTTTAAAGCAAACAGACTATTTGATTACTTGATCGAATCGAGGAAGGTCCTTCAGGTACCCCTTTTATAACAACAGCTACTGGCTTTTCTAATTATCTATATAACCTGATTTCATTTACATTACAAAGATATAGATATAGAGAGACATACATTAAATGTCACTATAGTTTGAAATGGGAATGTTGAGAATTCTTTTATAGGTCACATGTTTGACTAAATGTATATACGTATAGGTAACCCCTTTGTCCCAACGATGTAGATAATGTATACATACACCTTGGATAGATACAATAGGTATAGAAAGTATAATGTCACAAGTTTGTAATCGGTGTAAACATATGCAATACCATTGTGTTTCTAGTATATATTCAAGAAATATGATAAGAAATATTATAAATATGAAAATATTACCTTTAATAAGTCTCTTGGAATTGCCTCCATCCTGGACAAGTGCCTCCAAACCAAGTTTACTATTCGACACAGACTTTATACAAGAAACACACTCCAAGAGTATCATGGCATCGGCTAAATTTGTTACTCTTCTGCCACCAACACTATCTACATTATCCAACAGGGCATCCAAACCCTTTGCTTCCAGGAAACCTTGAATCCAGCCCTGTTCTGCCTTCTTAATCTTTTTCTTTAAAGATGCTAAAGTTCTGACAGACGGAATACTTAGCACACTAACACAAATTTCTGGCTCGCAGGAATCAAAATCCGCATTTGATAAAGTTTTACTAATTTTCCTTCTTAATATTTTCTTCATTTTGCTCTTTGGATCGGAACTGTCATCAATTGATGAAGTGGGACTAGAGGCGGGACTGGTGGGTGACATGGATTCTTCGGTGTCATCACTTTTGTTAGGAACTTCGGAGAAAAATTCCTGCGACATGCTGAAAACATCTTCTTCGTCGGTAACATTCGTTGGTGTATCACCATCTTTGATTATGGGTGTGTCCATTTTTGTCGTTATCTTTTTAACTTCTGCATCTTCCTTGTTTGTGTTGTCGTCTGCCTGTTTCGAATTGTTGTTACCAATATCTTCATCACCCATACAATTCCCGTCCTCATTAAAGTTAGAATCAAAGTCCGTCACAGTAACTGTGTCATCGCCATGTGCTTTGCTATCCTCCATATTAATATCAGCTTCACTCAAGGCAGTATTCGTTTCTAGTGGGTTCACTTTGCCCGTTATGTTGTCGTCTAGTGTTTTTGGTTCGAGGGAAAATATGTCGTCTGCTAGTTCAGTGCGAGTTGATATTTTGTCATATTTTATGTTGTTATAGTCCACTGACTCTCCCTCGTCTATTTCCTCAGAAGTTAAATCGATCGAGGAAGACACTTCTGTTTGTGTATTGTCCGAACTGATTGTATAAACGTCAGATTCGTTCTCATTCAGGTCAGAGAAATCACCTTCTTCTGCTGTGTCCCTTCGTCTTCCCCACAGGAACATAGACACCTTTCTGATTAGACCACTCACTCCTTTCGCCGCCTGTAAAGATAGGTTGCCAGGCAACGAAACATACGCCCACAGCAGCTAAATCGTCCGGGCAGTCAACAAGTATTGTCGCATATTTTTACTTCTTTCGGTAATGAAACATTTATAATACACTAAAATCTGATTAAGAGTAACAACTCATGAAGTAATTATCAGAAAACGATTAGAATTTGTTTGGTTTTTATAAAGTTCTGCCCCATGCTAACGTTTAGTATACAAAACTTTTAATATCATGGATTTAGCTGTTCAAGTCATAAAAATTCATTGAAAATCAATATACTTGTTCGTCTCAAGCTCTTAAACTCTGTGTATCAATCTGAAGTCAACTCTGGCAGTAATTATCGGAAATCGCTGAAAACCAATAGGCTTCTTCGTCTCATGACCTTAAACACTGTGTATTTATTTATATTTAATCGGATATTAACTTTGGCCTTTAGAGCGTCCAAAAGATTTTTTTGAAGTGATCAAGAGCCATAACTCTGGCAGTAATTATCGAAAATCGCTGAAAATGAATAGACTTCTTTGTCTCATGACCTTAAACACTGTGTATAAATTTAAAGTCAATCGGATATTAACTTTAGCCTCTAGAGTGTTCGCAAGATTTTTCAAAGTGATCAAGGGCCATAACTCTGGCAGTAATTATCTGAAATCACTGAAAATCAATAGGCTTCATCGCCTCATGACCTTAAACACTGTATATAAATTTAAAGTCAATCGGATATTAACTTTGACCTGTAGAGCGTCCACAAGATTTTTTTAAGTGATCAAGGGCCATAACTCTGGCAGTAATTATCGGAAATCGCTGAAAATCAATAGGCTTCTTCGTCTCATGACCTTAAACAGTGTGTATAAATTTAAAGTCAATCGGATATTAACTTTGGCCTGTAGCGCATCCACAAGATTTTTTGAAGTGATCAAGGGCCATAACTCTGGCAGTAATTATCGGAAATCGCTGAAAATCAATAGGCTTCTTCGTCTCATGACCTTAAACAGTGTGTATAAATTTAAAGTCAATCGGATATTAACTTTGGCCTGTAGCGCATCCACAAGATTTTTTGAAGTGATCAAGGGCCATAACTCTGGCAGTAATTATCGGAAATCGCTGAAAATCAATAGGCTTTTTCGTCTCATGACCTTAAACACTGTGTATAAATTTAAAGTCAATCGGATATTAACTTTAGCCTCTAGAGTGTCCACAATATTTTTTTAAGTGATCAAGGGCCATAACTCTGGCAGTAATTTCGGAAATCGCTGAAAATCAATAGGCTTCTTCGTTTCATGGACTTAAACACTGTATATAAATTTAAAGTCAATCGGATATTAACTTTAGCCTCTAGAGCGTCCACAAGCAATTGTGGAAGCTGGACCGACGGACGGACGGACGGACGGGGGCGACGACAATATACGACCGCATTTCAATGTGGGCGTATAAAAAGGGAGAAGGTTAATCCACTTGCATAGAAAACTAAATATCGATACCAATGAAGTAAAACAAAAGCCTAAAAGGGATAAATCTCACATCGTTATTTACGTTCTGTCAATATATGAATATTTGTGGGGATTTTCCAGGGTGGTTTCCACTTGTTAGTGATACAGGACGGGGCAATGAACAACGTATAGTCGTTCGGGGTTGATGTGCACGTAGGAATTCATTTGTTTTTTTAAAGCTGAATCGTATTGAGACAAACGACTTTATTTGACAAGTTTCTATCCACGAAATCAATCTTGTGGTAAAGGAGAAAGGGACGTGCACGGATTTATCGTTCCATAGTGTGGCTGAGCGTACCTCAATTGCCAACTTCATTATGCCCATGTAAGCGCCTTGTTCCTACCCACTAAGGCAACTTAAGAGAAGACCTAAGAAACATTGACCGTCAGTTGGAATTTGTTAGGTTAGTGCAAAATGTAAGACACTAAAGCCCGTTTCATTAATTGGTACTAGAACGCTCATCATATATTTTAAAAAAAAGACACACATAAAATACACATTCTTCATTAATGCGAGTCCAAGCGTAAAATATTTAATACAGTGTCAGTGAATATATCAACTTACCATGATGAAATGCTTTTTTTTACAAAACACACAAATAAACCGTCGCACATGAACCTAACACTGCAACTAAAGTCTCCAATTTAATCATTTTAACATTCACACCTACTTGTTAGCAGCAGCCACAGACACTATTTTATAGACCTAAACAATGTTGACTATTTACACTTTTACTTTTACTTGTCAACGAGTCAAAATATCTAAAACTTGCAATGAACAATTACTGTAGTAGCAGACATCCAACTGCTGAGCATAAACAAGAATGCACATGTCATGTCCTCAAGTTCCTGGGTCTATCGTCGTCTTCAACTACAATGATACAATATTTCACTAATCTTTTTTATCAATTAAAGTGTGGGTGTTCACCAAAATGTCTTAAGTCTATCCTATACTTAAAACTGACTTAATACTGAAATGTGTACAGTGGTGTTGATTTTATTCGTGCGACTGATAAACTGTGTCAACACTCCCGAGTATAAGTGTCAGATCAGGTTGTGACCATGTTACCGGAAATAATAACTCCTAATCACCCTGCGTGTTTTTATATACTTTGAAAACTAAGACGGTTGATAACTACTCATATCAATAGATGAGAGAGAGAGAGAGAAAGAGAGAGAGAGACAGATGGGACTAACATATGGTTCAATTTTATTACAATAATTCGCTAGCAGTGAGTGGGATGAAACTGGAGGACTCGGATTAAACTCACGAGGTTGGACAAACGACCCTACTCATTGTCACGTACAAGCGGAGATTCGCAACCACGTCAGTTGACTCAATGACAGACCTTGTGATCACCAGCAGCCGAAAGGGAATGAGACAAATACCGTACGAATTTATCTTTTTTCCGTGACCCCATAATCTATATACATGTATTAAAAAAAATTGGTGGTGCCCTCCAGAAACCCCTACCTAGTTCAGTTTTATTTTTGTTTTACGTGAATATCATCTCCAATATTAGTGAATGGGATTTGACGTCCTCGTTTTCTGCGCCAAGAGCGCTAATAAAGACAGAAATACGCCGCGCTAGCCCTAAAACAAGATGTCGACGCCCATGAAATTAATTTAAGAATTGCCATTTCAGAAAAATCTATTTGCATTGCCTGTTCAGTGTTCAAAACTCTTAATTTCTTTATGACAAATTTATCTCTTCAAGGACGATATCTATGTTTTTTTATTAATCCTAATTCGTCGTTACCATGACATTAGCTAAAAAGTTCCATTGTCCATGCGTAACTGGGAGTTTGGTTTTATCCAGTGTATTTTACCAAATGCTGACAACCCACCCAGACCCTCGGGCGTTCTGTGTGACCGAGACGTCAACACCGAGGCCTAGAGCAAATATTATCTGACTTCATCTGAATTTCTGATCGATTTCAGTGACAGCTATCAACTATAAAGACACCAAAAAGAAGCTAAAAGCTTGGTATATTTGGATGAGGAACCGAAAGAAGCTACTTGACCAGTGACAACAAGAGGTGAATTATTGTATAAAGTTCGTATACTATAAAAACAAGTGATGAATCATTAAGTATGCTAATTTCGTGTCGCTATTTTGTAAAACTCAACAGGAGACCAATTGAAAATAAGTCTGTGGTATTTCCGTTAGAGAGATTTCTTTTCATTTCTTTTATTATGTAACCTTATGAATAACTGTGGGATACTTGTTGTGGTTGGTTTTTTTTTAAAAATAAAACAACTATTCCATTGTACCATAAAATCGGATTCACGCCATCTTTTTGTTACCGTGTTATTTATATAAAAAGTCTCATATTACAGTTTTGAATTTATTTCCATATAAGATCAAAATTTGCTTTGTAAATCAGTGAAGTTGTTCATCTGCAGAGATCAAAGTGACAGTTTTAATGGATAAAGGGGGATAACCACAATTAAAAGTTTGAAACGCTGTGCAACATTGAAAGCAATCATGTGGTTGAGAAATTGAGAGAAAAGATTGACTCAGCCTTTTTATTATTTTCTTAAACCCTAGCGACAAATTAAATGCTATAAATAGTAAAATAAATAAATGTTGAAATCAAAATGTAAGTTGAAACCATGCCTGCTGTTACTTTCTTTATCAACTGAATGGAATGCCGAACAGAACTGGGATTGGCCCTTAGGATTCAACGGCAAATTTCTTTTGAAACAACTCGCAAAATGATATTACCCATTTGGCTTTCTCAAATGTATGTAGTCTATATTGTTAATTGAAACCGCGAAAATACTTTGATTTTGTCGAATTATGTTGATTTTGTTTTAAATTCTGAATACCTTTCTATATTAATCTCTATTAAATTTACGAACATAATAATAATCATATATTGTTTACCTACAGCAAAACATCGTCGCAGTGAAACATAAGGCACGTGAAGGAATGGAGTTTCGCGCCCCGTCAACAATACTTCGATCATTTTCAGACTAACGTCAACGGAACACAAACTAGGTCATTCCGTGACTAATGTAGTGGGAGTAAACCGAAAGACCCGGAGAAAATCCAAGATTTCGGACAGAGCTCCTACTTCTTGTCACGTACAAGCGGGGAATCGAAACCAGCCACTTGACTCACTGACGAACCTTATGATCTAAAACGTAAGCCTTCTAACGACCGGGATGTTAAAGACGGATGGGACGTATTACAACAGAATCTGTATTAAAATATAATAGAAGGACAGTTTATAACTAACTACTAGGATGGCATGAAGTAAAATAATATAATAATGATTTGTGTACTGTTTTTAAACCAGTTCTACTACTAACTATGGTCCACCCGTGTATATATTTGGCATGCACGTAAAAGAAGTCTTGGTAATTGGCATAGCATACGTAATCATAGAAATTAAATTTACTACAATGTTAGTCTTAAAAAAACCTCGGCGTATTGTTTTGTCGGTACTTCAAACCACATTCCAGCCCATTCCTTTTTAGGGGTTGGATTGTAGTCTCGGTCACCCAGGACCTCCTATTTTTCTGGAAGATAGAGACTAGTTGGATGGTCGAATGGTTAGCGCGTGCGCGTTGTATCATAAGGTCTGCCATTGAGTCAACTGGTGTGGTTTCGATTTCCCGGTTGGACGTGACAAGGAGTAGGGTCGCCTGTCCAACCTCGCGGGTTTTCTCCGGGTCCTCAGGTTCCCTAAAATTGAACCATATGTTAGTCCAGAAATAACCTAGTTTGTGTCGAGTAGACGTCTCTCTCTCTCTCTCTCTCTCTCTCTCTCTCTTCCATTCTTTAAACCCGCAAAATATTTTACAACTCAGTTGTATTTGGAACGTAAAGGTTAAAGGGCGGACTAAGAAGTTGGGTCAGTAGGTTAAATGGTCTTTCTTCTACCTAACTATTTAAGAATGTTTATTTGATATTTATCTTAAACAAGAACACTGAATGAAATTTAGCGCCTTCCTTTGATGTGGTGATAATCCCGTAAATCAGGCCGGTACACCTTTAAAGGCATGCTGCCTAGCGTTTATACAAAACGAGTGTTTACACCTGAAGGTATACTTCAATACT